GAGCAGGGAGCCCGATGCGGGACTCGATCCCGGGACTCCAGGATCATGACCTGAGCCGAAGGCAGTCGCTTAACCAACTGAGCCACCCAGGCGCCCCTACACAGGAAAGATTCTAATCCTACTTCATTAGTGATGAAACTGAGGTCCCTATAAATTAAGTGACCTGTATGTCAGACAACTAAGATTCACTGTATTTCCTCCATCCACCCTCCTGCCATTTCCATCCTTGGAATACTGCATCCTGTGCCTCCTGACCCGTCACCCCTTTCAGGCCAATATCTGCACAATAGAGAGAGTTCTTTTAAGATGCATGTTATGATCATGTTATCTTCCTGCTTCCCATTGCATGTACACAGAGCTCTGCACATTCTGGTCCTGCCTACCCTTCCAGCTTCTTTTCCCACTTTTCCATGTTTTGTGTGTTTGAGTCATAAGGGAACACTCAGTGTTCTTCTCCTCCATCTGTAACTCATTTCTCCTCCCTCTTTGCCTAGCTCACTCTTATTTATCTTTCAGCTCTAAGCTTGGTGGAGGTTAGCTTTGCTGAGGAGCCTCCCTTGATACCTCCTTTCCCACCCCCCAGGTAGGCTAGTCTCTGTTTCCCATAGCATTCTGAATTTCTTCATAATGTTCTTCACATTTACAATTATCTTTCTGTTAGTCTTCCTTGCAAGATAGTAAAGCTCCATGAGGGCAGGGAACATATATATTATTAGTGTTTTTACTTTAGCAACTAGCACAGTTCGATCAATTTTTGCTGTTAAATGAAAATACTGGTTTTAATTTCTCTGTATGGTCATTTGTTCATTTTTTTGGAGGCGAGTTTTCAGCTTGCCTGTACCCTTTGAACATCATCTTCCCTTGTTCATTTGTTGCTGACAATGAAATAACACCTAACATTACTACTAACATCTCTGACACAAAATGGAAAGTTTGTGTTTTTTTTAAGTTAAAAGTTAATACTGAGATGATTTTGTTACTCTGAATAACTTATATATAAAGGGTTTGATGGGGGGGTGGAAAACCAGCTAAAATAAGACATTTGAGACTCCACAAATGTCATTTCATCCCCCCTGCCGCCCCCCCCCACCACGTAGCCAAGAATTTTGTGAGACAAACATAGAACAGTTTTAGAAAGCTTGAGGCTGAGGCTAAGATCTGTTGAATTTGAACATACCAGGAATTTACTTATATTTTTCATATCGTAAAGTGGCTGATGTGGGAATAAGAGCAAATGGACTTTTTCCAGAGACCACTATGAAGCAGCCCCTACACTTTTTGAGGAGAAGCCCCACCAGAAGTATAAGGGAGCCTAAGCCCCTTACTCTCCCAGAGTTCAGTAGGCATTTTGGAGCACACCTGGTTATCGTTTCTGTGAACTAGGGGAAAAGGGGTCTGGAATTCTAAGCTGCACATACACAGCTCAATACTGAATTCCTTTGAACTCTGTAACTACTTACCTCAGATGAATTATTTCAAAGAGCAATTTAGCAGTTTAAGCATAAGATAGTTAGGTCTCCCAAACCTGGTGTTTTCTGCAGAGACCCCTGTTAAGACCTCTAGAGAAAAATTCTACAAAAATTGGGTGTCTCTAGGTTTAGAGTAGTGGTTTTCAAAGTGTGTGCTTCCCAGACCAGTAGCATCGGCATCACCTGGGATCTTTTGAGAAATACAAAATTTTAGACCCTTCCACAGACCTATTAAATTGAACTCTGGGGATGGAGCTAGCAATCAGTGTTTTGCCAAGCTCTTTGGGTGATTCTGACGCAGGCTACAGCTTGAGAACCACTGGTTTAAGGTATCCAGGCAAGTCATCAAGTCCAGTTGACTAGGTGAAGTTGTCTCTTATTGAAAAGAGATGCTAATGGTTTGTCTTTGAAGTCACTCATCATTTTGGACTTTGCAGGTTTTGTTACAGATATAAAATTGACCTGCTCTTCCCAGAATTTTCCTTCTCTCTGATATTCATTAAGATCAGCGCTCTGATAAAATATCATAAGGTGTCTTTAAGGTGATGGAGGAGTCAGGGAGAGAGGAATGCCTTGTGATTTGGCCCAATGCAGGTTTTATAATTGTTCTTATGGCTATCTGATACTGTTTGTTTGACCAAAAATACTTTTATGGGTTTAAGGAATTGTGGTTCTTCTATAACCTATGTAATTTATTTTGTTATAAATAAAAGGGTCTAAAAATTGTAGTGGGGGGGGAACCAGAAGTTACAGAAGCACTTTCCAGCAACTTGTATTCATCACAGTTAACAATGTAAAGGAGGTGAAAGGGGGGACAGCCTTCCTTTTGGTGAAAGTACTGCCTTGGCCATTAATGAAAAATATATCTTTGGGAAAGTAAAAAATGTTCAGGATTTCTTCTTCTACAAATGCATGGATAGTGAGAGGAAGGAAAGTTCTTGCAGCTTCTGACTGTGACCCTGTTGATGATGTAACAGGTGACTGTTTACTTGGACTTTTAGTAGCCTTTAGAATCAAGGCTGCTTATTAGTGGTTGGGTTAAATATAGGTTTTCTTTTTCTTTACCAAAGTAAATGCTGACAGTGGTAAAGTCAGTCCTAACTGTGGTG